GGAGCTTTCTCACCTTCATGAAAGCTTGCAAAAGGATCACATGGACGAGGATTCAGCTGGAAGTAGCATTAGCTTTTCTGCTGCTAATGGTAACTACTCTAAAAAGTATGACGAGCTAGCTACGAAGCTTCAAGGAATGTGCAAATCAATCAAAGTTACACTAGATCAGCATATTTTCAGGGAAGAACTGGAGCTGTGGCCATTATTCGGCAGACACTTCACTGTGGAGGAGCAAGACAAAATAGTTGGCCGCATTATTGGGACCACGGGTGCTGAGGTGCTCCAATCAATGTTACCATGGGTGAATTCCGCACTTACTCAGGATGAACAGAACAAAATGATGGATACATGGAAGCAAGCAACTAAAAATACAATGTTCAATGAGTGGCTTAATGAATGCTGGAAAGGAATTTCAGAATTAACTTCACAGACTGAAACATCGGAAAGTAGCACTCCTCAAAAAGGTTTGTATCATGATCCAGGTGTTTTTGTCGAAGATAAACACACAGTTAAGGCAGTCAATCCACCATGTCGAATGAGGACTATGCCTTTGTCCTGACTTCTAATGGGAGATATTAGACTTTTTAGTACCGTCAAGTTAATTTTTGAATGCCCAACTTGATTTTGGGAACACAAGTACCAGCTGGATTATATTTCTGAGCTTCAGTGAATTTAATGTCTAAAAAGCTGCCTCTTAACTGTATTAATTTAGCTTATCTTGACTTTTATTTTGTTTTAGGGATTGAATTTCAAGAAAGCTTGGATCACACTGATCAGATGTTCAAACCTGGTTGGAAGGATATTTTCCGTATGAATCAAAATGAACTTGAGTCAGAGATCAGAAAGGTTTATCGTGATGCGACTCTGGATCCAAGGAGAAAGGCATATCTTGTGCAGAATCTTATGACTAGGTTAGTTCTATACTAACCTTCTAGAATTTCTCCGATTACTACACTATCTTATTCTGACACAAAAACTAGATCATGACGTCTAAAAAACATAACCCTATTGGCCAATATTCCTAAATAATGATAGACTCGTTTATTTCAGCCGCTGGATAGCTACTCAGCAGAAGTTACCTCAAGAAATAGCAGGAGAATCGTCTAATGGTGAAGACATGGTTGGACACTCACCAGTGTATCGAGATGCTGAGAAAAAAGAGTTTGGGTGCGAACACTATAAAAGAAACTGTAAACTCCGAGCTGCTTGCTGTGGCAAGTTATTTACATGTAGATTTTGCCATGACAATGTGAGCGATCATTCAATGGATAGGTACTTTTCAATCAACACTTATATTTCAAGTTACATCACATTAACTTTATTCTTATTCTTCTTGTTGGGGTAAAACCTCGGACTTTCTCTTAACCATTGCAGGAAAGCAACATCTGAAATGATGTGCATGAGCTGCCTGACCGTTCAGCCCGTTGGGCCACTATGCACTACACCTTCATGCAATGGACTCTCCATGGCAAAGTACTATTGCAATATATGTAAATTTTTTGACGATGAAAGGTATATGAGTTATTAATTGAAATTTCAATTTTGTACATATTTAATCATTAATTCTGATAATTAGTGAATTCTTATGTGTAAATTACATCTTCCTTTTACAATTTCAGGACTGTGTATCATTGCCCATTTTGCAATTTATGCCGACTCGGAAAAGGTCTTGGCATTGACTTCTTTCATTGCATGACATGCAATTGTTGCCTGGGGATAAAGTTAGTGAACCACAAGTGCCTGGAGAAGAGTTTAGAAACAAATTGCCCCATCTGCTGTGATTTCTTATTCACATCAAGTGCAACGGTTCGAGCTCTGCCTTGTGGCCACTACATGCATTCTGCTTGCTTTCAGGTCTCTGTTTTTATAAAGCTTCTTTTTAATCCATTTGCCATGTGCTTTTCTCCTTTCCTTTCAAAAGAAAAGTAAAATTAAACTACTGTGTTGTTTTCTATTAGGCATACACTTCCAGTCACTATACTTGTCCAATTTGCAGCAAATCTTTGGGAGATATGGCGGTAAGAGGATTTCTGGTTTTGTTTTTAACTTTTTTCTTCTTCTTTTATCGTTACTGGAGAAGCTTTGTCATTATCTCTTGAGATCCTTTATGAAACCGAACTGTGAGATCTTTCTTAATCTCTATACCTACTCAGGTTTACTTTGGCATGCTTGATGCATTATTGGCTGCCGAGCAGCTTCCAGAGGAATACAGGAACCGTTGTCAGGTGCATTGCTTCTACTCATTTTACTATATTCATGTTCTCAAAGTTAGTCGTCTTGACATGCTGAATTAGTAGGTCTCCTATCTCAAAGAAGATTACAGGTTCTACGTTATGTTAGTTCCGTCTCCTTAAACTTGCGACTTGGTCTTCATATGTTTAATTTGACGATATTATTTGTCCTCTTATTTTTCATTTCCTTAAAGACGGCATGTCTTCACTTGCGATAGATGCATTACTTTGCCGAAATTTAGAGGCATAATGGTAAAGGAACCATCTCACAAATTAATTTTCCAACCAGGACATTCTATGTAACGACTGTGATCGAAAGGGTACCTCACGGTTTCACTGGCTCTATCACAAGTGCGGGAACTGCGGATCTTACAACACCCGGGTGATCAAGGGGGAGACATCAAATACCGACTGCTCAACATCGAACTAAAGGCAGGTTTTATTTTTTTGACAAAGAGATGTATATATGTTGGTTTGTAGATATTTGTACAGGCAATTCAATTTTCCCGTGACCATTAAAGTGGTTATTTGACATCCGACACAGCAATTTTGTAGAAGCCTGGTAAATATCATCCTGCCTTGGTTTCGAGATATTCGTTTTTCGAACATATAGACGGAGGAAGTAAACAGAGCTCATTGAAAGCCATCTGTATATAAATTTGCTAGTGTCGCTTTTTCTCTGGTGATGTAAATTTTTCGATCCATGATCTCGTTGGATTTTTCCCTCCTTTCTTACGTTAACGTTTTCGGTCCTATTTACTCGAACTGTAATTTTTTTCACCACGCTTCGTTCACTCTCTGTCCAAAAGTTGCACCTGAGACTCACACGGAAGGGCATTTTTACTTCCATTCATTGTAAGCCTCAGATGCAACTTTGGACGAAACTTGAAGGAAAATCATATTGATTGAGAAAGATGTTCCGAGCATCTTATACACTACGGTGTTGTTCATTTAATCTTGCATTTTAAATTGATCTTAACTTTTTTAAACATTTCAAACTAGTATTCAACCTATTAAATGTGTTAGGGCTTATTTTATCTCCAAGACCAATAGAAGGTCATGGATCTTCATTAACAGTCACCATCACTTCCATCAGGCTATCACCTCCAAACTCAAAGCTTAACCACCTACTCCACCCCACAACTCAAGCCACCAAGATCGAGAAAAAGGCCATGGAGGTTGCTGAAATGGTATGGATTGTCATTTGTGGCCACTACCATCTTCACTAGTCACAAAGAAAAACTGGAAGCTAAACTAGTTGTTGGGTTTTGTATATAAAGGTTGGGACGGGGTTTCCACGGTCGTAGGTTGAGCTTGGAGGTGGTTGGGCTTGATATTTCCCGATCTTCATTTTTTAAATTTTATTTGAGATTTTGTTTATTTATTTTTTATTTTTTCATCTTCCTGTCTTTTTAAAAGTTATTTTTATTATTATTTTAGTGTCTAAGCAAGCTAAAAAGTGGGACTCATTTTTTCACTTGTACATTTAAGGGAAAAATTAATTGAGATTTAACGGATGTAACATTTCAATGGTTGGATACTTATTTGAAATGTTTAACAATGTTAAGACCAATTGAAATGATACTAAAAGGTTGAGCGGTTTTAAGTACTTAATTCTTAAATTTTTGGTTAAGAATTTAATGATTAAGTTGTAACAAGATAAGCATAGTAAAATTTTGGAAAACTCTGTTGCACAAGGGTGTGATTTCCATCCATCACGAATGACATGTCCATCATAGTTGTGTCAATCCAACGTCAACCAAAGAGTAATCTCCAAGCTTTGGCACAGATCTGGACAGCCAAGTCTTTTGCTACAGGGAAAAGGCATCTAGCAATTGCTTGCTTGGGACCCCAATTGCCAATATGTATAAAAGTTTTGGTGACGACCAGAAGACATGGTCCGTGATTAAATTAGTTCAACAGCTAAAGGTTTAATGCTGACAAGAAATCTATAAAGTTTATGACATTTCAAACAAGGATTCGGTGTTTTTCCGACCCACTCCACGCATGAAACCAGCTTCCCTTGTCTCTTCAATCACAAATCTTAACAGATGAGAGAGAAATTCTAGTGATTTTCCAATCCTCACTTGACATTTGATAGAGAAATTTTCACTAAAGCAGCTTATTTATGCGGTTAATAAATAATAAGTGATCGGACACTCTCACTGTAAGTAAAATTGTGAAGGTTGTACCTACGTGACGAGACCGGATGGTACTCTAATACAAAAGAGCATGTTTCTTTGTAAGAGTAACATGATCAATCATGTAGTCAAGTTGCCCATTCTTCTTAGTTTTATATCCTTTAGAGTTTAGAAAAATATTGAATTTGGAGTGCCGTGATTACTACCCAATAAAAACTTTTGATTCATTTCACACTGAGCTACAAAAAGAAAAAAGAAAAAAAAAAAAAAGGTTAGCTGAGAAAGAATCATTCAAACAACCAAGGGGCATGGGGTACCCTAGTAGTTGGGCCTAATTCTAGGCTCCTATTCACACATCTGATTATGGGTTCGATTCCTGACTTGTGAATCACACAATAATGGACAGAAAAACTAAAATGCTTATGTGATTCTTTTCGATTCCTGAAAAAATGGGCTGCCATAGCTTTTGCTACTACCTGATCCCCTTTCAAAATAAAAAAAAATAAATAAAAAAAGCAAACAAAATCCACAAGGAAACAACAATGAACTACCAATTTCAAAAAGGGTGTATGTTGATTAGCATTATAGACATGGACCAAAAGCACCCCTAGAATATAAACAACTGCAATTATCCCACCACAATGAAGACAAATCCTTAATAATAGGGATACATGTCGTGTCTCCTATCTAATGACATTTTAACACGTTAAAACCTTCCAAGCCCCTCTATTCATCCACTCTTTTAACTCAATAATATTATTAACTCGATATCTCAATCTAATCACGTATACTAAATTTAACTACCAACCGGTATTACAAGTGAGTTTCTATAAGCTAAACATTGCTTCCTTCTTTCCAAGTACACTGAAACATTTGACAAGGAAGCAAGTGAACAAAAGTCTAGAATGGTAATATCGCTTGTAATCGAACATAAGTCATTTCTTGCCCTTTTTATCTTTACCGGGGTGTAAAAAAGAACCCAAACAAAAGAGCTTTGCGGTTCCTTTAGAAATGTAAGGAGATGGTACATTCAACACAGGACTAACTCGAACCCCGTTGCCGTAATAAGACGATCCATTGTATCCCTTCCTCAACGGCGGCCTCGGCACCAGCGGTGCATGCGGGTTCAACGACGACGATGAAGAAGAAGATGATGAACATGATGCTGACTTCAACGTTGAAATATTCGACGTCTGTTTTTGTTTATGAACATCCTTAAAAATAGCCTTTTTCGGATTCGGAGCTGATCCGGTCGAGTTGCTTCTTGACAAGAGTTGCAATGAGCAAAATAAACTTTTCTTGTTTTCTTGATTGAGGCTGGTGCTTCTCTTGAATCCCCAGAAAGATTTCGACTGAGGCTTCTTCTCGAAATGATCGGAACTCGAATCTATATCTTCCTTCGAGTTCTTGCTCTCTTTCTTTGGATTTTGATTGTCATAGATTGGAAGATGACTTGGAAGAGGAGCAGAAGAAGAATAACTTTTGACTTCGCTGTTCGAAACCTTTTCTTTCGGCTGCATAGGGAGGATTACGCCGTGCAAAAACAGCTCGTCGGCGGAGGAAGACTGACGTTCGAAGCTGCTTCTGCTGAAGCTGAACTCAAAGTCACAGTTCATGTCCAAGAGTGATGCGTCTCTCCGACCAACTGGTAGAACATCTGGTTGTCCAAGGTCATGGGAGAAAGATAATCTGGGAGGACTAGTTTCTGAGCACATGTTGATTATCTTTGATTGATCAAGGAACTGGTGAGGATGTGTTGGAGCAAAAAAATTCGAGTTCTTTAACAAATATCTTCAATCCACACGTTGAGAAGCCGGACGCCAACCTTCGCTTGCCAACACGATGAGCGAGAGGGTATCTGCAAGAAAATACTCTGATGCTCAACTTGCACCAACCTTCTTTAACAAATATCTTCAATCCACACGTTGAGAAGCCGGACGCCAACCTTCGCTTGCCAACACGATGAGCGAGAGGGTATCTGCAAGAAACTACTCCGATGCTCAACTTGCACCAACCTTCGCTTGCCAACAATGAACGAGGAGAGGTACCTGCAAGAAAACACTATGACCTCAAGAATCTTCAGAAGACATTAAGAGTTTAAGAGCTACTTGAAGTTCAAGAATTAATATTGGTATGCCAATGGCATGTGGAAATGGATTGGGATTAGAAGTTTCAACTCATGATGAGGTATTCAAACTTGACATGTTGGGCTGGACTTGGAAGTCAAAAAAGACGAACAAAGAAAAAAAAAGGCGACTCTTTTAGAGGACGAGTAAAAAACAAAGGCAGCTTTTGGAGCTGCACAAATTTGAAGAACAGTGAGTAAATCTTGGAAATTTCGAAGATTAGAGGATGAATTTCCCAGCTTTTAGTGCTGCTATTGTTATTTGTTCTACAGAGTGGAAACAAAAGAAGGAGACGGTTACATACATACATATATATATATATATATATATGTATATACATATATATATGTATATGTATGTGTGTGTGTGTGTGTATATATATATATGATGAAATTGAGGTTACACTGTAAAATCAATTAGCAATATGAGAAGTAACCCAAGATCATATAAGCACATAGTAAACTTTGTCCCTCACCGATGTGGCTCAACTCTCAACATGTCCCCGCACATGTGGCGGGTTTTCAAGCCTACACGTGGACAATAACTGAGTGATGTGGAGTGCGTGTGACCGTTTGCTTCACACAAGGACAACCCGCTCTAATACCATGATGAAATTAATGTTCCACCATAAAACTAATTAGTAATATGAGGAGTAGCCCAATATCATATAAGCACATAGCAAACCTTGTCCCTCACCAATGTGAGACAACTCTCAACACGTCCCCGCGCATGTGGCGGATTTTCAAGCCTACACATGGACAACAACTGGGTGACGTGGAGTGCGTGTGGCCATTTGGCTTCACACGAGGACAACCCGCTCTGATACCATGATGAAATTGAGGTTCCACCATAAAACCAATTGGCAATATAGGGAGTAGCCCAAGATCATATAAGCACATAGCAAACCTTGTCCCTCACCGATGTGGGATAACTCTCAACAGTATATATATAGGGAAATGTTATTGGTACTTCAAAAATTTCATTCTACACTCCTCACAAGTGTATTTTATTTTTCAAATATAGAAAGTTTGAAGTATAAAATGAGGTTTTTGAAATGCCAATAACAATCTCCTATATATATATATATATATATATATATTGGACCGGAAAAAAAAAAATATATATATATAATGTTATTTTGTTCTTTTTTAAGATGAATGAGGAGAAAAAAATCTCTGCAGCGTTGGATAACTTGTGGAAAGAGAGAAACTATACTGCAAGAAACTACTATTACACTGAGAAAATGAATGACTCTAAAATGAAGAAAGATTTTATGCAACAGGAATGCAATTCTGATGGTTGTTCAGACTAATCAAGTATTATTTCCGAACGCATGACACAGTGACACTTCATTATCCGGTGGAAAGTAAGTTTCTTGTTCGAAAAAGAGGAAGCCAAGCCAAGACTATGAGATTTCTTTAGCTTCTAGTAGTTTTTTTTTAAAGCCAGAAGTTAGGGAAGATTAAAGTGGTGAGATGGAGATAAAATGTGAGGTCTGTTCTCAAAATAAGGACAAGGTCTATGTTCCTCTTGGTGTTGCCATGAGTAGACTTTTGGGGTTGCCATCCTAACCACTAAGTAGGCCCTTTTCTTCTTGTTTTCCAAAGTTTCTTTCACTCATAACCTTTCTTGTATAAAGAAAAGCTAATCAAAAGTTTCAATAAACAAACTAATTGACGCAGCACAAAGCTAAGGATTAGAAGCGTAATTCTTTGAAGAATTGAAAGTCTGAAATTCATCAATTTTTGAGAGAAATCCTAAAGGATTGTTTATCTAAAGATTGAATTGATGATATTACATAAACAGTCAAATGACTTATAAAGACACTAACGCAACTCTGGGAAAATTCAAAGGTCTTAGAAAATTAAAAACAACATATATAATTCAGACGGTAATTGAAATGTCTGATTTTTATTACAGAATTTCAAATACTGCTTTGGAATCCTAACAGTATCAGATGGCTAAAATCTATTATATGTCACGACAAGGCTGTGTGTTTGAACGGAAACATCTTTTTCTTTTCAAAAAAGGTATCATAGGCGCAGATCGGAGCTCGGCCAAATCTGAAAATTTCTAATGTGCCCTTTTTCCTTCCGTCAGTCCATTTCCTTTTCTATCCACTCGACCATTTATTCTACATCATTAATAAGATAAAAGAACATTTTGCCACCACTAATCTTGAAATTTCTCCTCATCCAATCACATCAATATCTCAAATATTATGTAACCTTGGAAGATATTTTTGTTGGTACAAATCGGAAGCTAGTGAATGGGACTTTGCAACTTCATTGAGATCCTCATGCTTTACGAAATTAGGTTTTATAATGCATGATATTCATAGCAATTTGTAAAACCAATTAAAATCGTGAGTAAATTAGTAATTGCTCAATTTTTTTGTAAAAAATGCAACTAATGAATTTTCGTGAGATCTTGCTCGAGCAAAAGACTTTATAAATCATGTGGAAGCTCATTTACAATTTATTTAAGTTTATTTTCATAGCATGAGGATGACTTACATGCAATTGGAACGTCAAGATTATGATATTCCAAGCTCATTGCTCAACGGCATGTAGGTAAGTTTCATATTGTCATATTAACATCGTGATTGTAAATAAGTTCATATCCATGAGTTGTGACACAACAAATTGTCTTAAAAGATAGGTACGTTAAAATGCATAATAATGTATAATAGACTGAAAATATTGTCACATTGACGTCGTGATTGTACATAAATTCATTCCCATAAGTCATGACACATCAGATTCTCTCAACCCAGCAAAGATAGGTCCTGACTAAATTTTGTCATTAGATGGGATGATGGGATATAGCATCGTGATAAAACATGGCAGCTACGCTACCGTGACGTACGCGTTGAAAGGCGGTAGTTTCGTTTTGTGAACAGATCCTCTCTGAATCCAAACTATCCGGATCCTGCAAACCTCCCTTCCCCTCAATTCCCACTGCTTATTTCTCCGACCTTCATCCCCTCCCATTTTCTTCTTCTTCTTTCTTTCGCGAATCTGCTTTGTTAATCGCCACCGGAGAAGAAGGTGACAATACTGAGAGAAAGAGAACGGGTTAGAAAATTAAAGAGGAAGAGCGATCTCAACTGCATAATTTTACATGAACGGTTGTGTTTTTTTTTAGGAGAACTTAGGTTTCTATTCTTTTTTTTGCTACTCTTGATCAAAATCTTATTCATTTTCAAATTTTGATCAAAGTTCTTAGGTATTAATAAACGTCATTAAGTATTTCAATAATAAAATATTTTTTATTTCTAAATATATTCATTTAGTGTTTTTTGAAGGAATATTCATTTAGTGTTAGAAATGTTACCTTTGGTATATTTATATCTATGGCTAAATTTTTTATCAAATTTTTTTTAGTTTGTACCCATTTTTAATTTGCAACTTTTTTTTTTAATTGTACCAATTTTCTTTTCAGTTTTCATTTGTACCCATATATTAATTTCTTTTTGTGCCCATTGTACCCATATTTTAAATTTATTTGTACCCATCCTAATTATATGTATTTATTTTATGTTTTAAAATATATCAGTAATTATTTTTTTAAAAAGAATATTATGTGGGTACATTATTTTTTTGCTATAATTTTGTGAAGAACAATATTACTGTAATATTTATTTTAAGTATATTATCTTTTAAAAAAAAATTTGAATTTGTTTAAATTTCATAATTTGTGGGACATTAAATGCATAAATGCATGAGTTAAATATCTTAAATGATGTTAAGGATCTCGATTAAAATATTTAAACAAATAAAGTTTCAGTCTAACAATTAGAATGATTAGGAATCAGAACCAAAATGATCATTTTTTTTATCCCAAAATTCAAAAGATTCGTATTCGAAGAGGATTATGTTTCGTTTTACAATACAAGTGTGATTGAGGTAAGCCAAAAACTTGGCAAAAGATATTCCCGAAATTCAGAAACTCTAATTTATTCAGTAGGATTAATGCTTACTACTGCACAAATGTCTGGTTACAACTTTACATCAGACGAAAGAACCGACCGACCGACCAACCAAATCTAAGTTCTAATCTTTTGCTAAAAATAAAAAATAAAAAAACAATTAAATTAGATGCTTCCAACCATTGGTTGGGCAATTGCAAAACAGATTTGCTAATCATTGAGTAGTTCATGCAACAAATATGTATTTGGTATCCTCCAATCTTTGCATGAAAAATTGATAATCGCCTCATTTTTTGCCTTTAATTATTAGCTTGAGATGCTACCGATCTTCTCGGCTCTATTTTTTCAGTTTTCCATCTATCTTGTATTCTGTAATGTTGCTCGATGAAATAATACTCGATTCAGATCGTCTTACCATAGCACGTGATGAAATAATACTCGAAAAAGTAGAACGAGAATATTCAAATAAGAATGTGAAAGATAAAAAAAAAAAATGTGCGAATAACACAATTCTTAAAATAAAACTCATATGAGCAGGACAAGAATGGTTATATATTTACCTCAGATGGGCCCATAATTTTATTTAGTAGCATGAGCTGTAATTATGTCAAAGCACAGAGTAGGCGATGACTTGGTACACAGGACTGAGTAAGCATTAATAGTAAAAAATAATAGGGTTTGTTGAAACTTTGAGATCGAAAGATACTTTAAATTATTGAGGTGGTGATGCTATACCATTACGATCAAAGATTTTGGATTGACCATGGCCTAGTACAATTGACTGGGTTAGGTTAGGTTAGGTTTCGGTGCACATAATATTCATGCACTCTTTCGATTCTTAAAAAGTTTTAAGGAGGAGAAGAGGCTATCCATTTCAGGGTCAATGCATATACCGAACCTCTTTGAGGATTTACAAAAGGTGTTTTAACCTTTTTCTTAGTTTTTATAGATCGCTTACTAAGAAAGTGTTGACAGCAAGACTTAAACCTAAACTTTAGTCTAACAAAGAAAACGATCCTTATCAACTTAACCAACCTTCGTTGGCAATAGTCATGCACTCTCATTTGTAGACATGCACTCAATCTTCTCATAAATTATTGAGAGTTAATTAAACATTGCATACGCTAATCCTCATATAATAGTTTAATACACCTTTGCTTGCAAGGATGTGTTTGTCATTCTCAAAAAGTTTTGATTGACGTGAGAGTTAATGTTTGTTGTGTGCTCAAGTGAGATCTTTTGTCACCATGCATTTAGAAAGCATTTAATTTCTCTTGCTTCTTGATGTTGTAAGAGCAACTCCAGCGTTGGAGCCCTCCCCCCTGGCAATACACTATTCAATCCACCTA